CCCCCCCCCCCCCCCCCCCCCCCCGCCCCGCCGCCTGCAGACATGCCTAGATTCATGCATTCAAGGCCTAAAACAGGATTGAAACTCATTTGTAGAAAAACTGACCCTCTGTGCTCTTTCAAGCAAGCTTACCTCAAGGATAGTCTCCGCTGGACACTGGACAATAGGTAGTCTTCAACACCTCTTTAGAACTTGCTGATCTCCCTTCGAACAAAAGGAGAGAAGCCTTTCAGCCAGCATCATCTTGGGAAGACAATACTTCCTAATCAGACATCATTAGCAATATTTCACTTTTTTCAACCCTGGGCACAGGGCACTTGTCTACGGTCATGCTACAAATTTGCCTTTAAAATAAATCCAAGATTTTTTTTTTAAGTGCAAAAATCTAAAAGATGGTGTGAATAACAGGAAGGGGGGTGCTTAATTATGGCGGACAGTCGAGGTGTTACTCCTACTCCCAGTGTGGTCCCTGGACTATAAGCAGCATCTCGGAGCTTGTTAGAACTTTAGAGCCTCAGGCTCCGCCTCAGCCCTCCTCAGAATCTGCATTTTAACAAGGTCTGTGGGTGCTCTGTGCATGCACAGAAAACTCTCGGAAGTACCGATGTAAATAATGAAGCCTGGGAAACACCAGCCTCAGGACAAAAAGTTAAAACTATTTCAAGATGATTCACACGCCTCTGCAAGGCCTTCTGCATCCGGGAGCCTAGCTCCCTGCCTTTATTTTTTCTCTCACCAAAAAGCCCACCCTCTTCTGCCTCCACCTCCTCATCGTTCACGACTCAAATCCAGTAGGACTTTTCTCTTGTTTAATTGAGGTGAATTTCACGTGACATAAAATCAACCAGGTAAAGCGAGCAATTCTGTGGCGTTTAGCTGAGCGTCATTCCCCCACCCCCTCTCCCTGGCACCCAGCAATCTGCTGTTTCAGGGATTTGCCCGTTCTGGACATTGCATATAAATGGAATCACACGATGTGTGGCCTTTTGTGTCTGGGTTCTTTCACTCAGTGTGATGTCTTCAAGGCTCATCCATGTTGAAGCAGGTTTGTTACTTTTACGCAGAATAAAATTCCATTGCATGGACAGGCTACATCTTGTTTTTCCATTCATTGATGGACATTTGGGTTGTTTTCCCTTTTTAGCAATTGTGCGTATTAGCTCACTGCTATGAATATCCGTGTACCAGTATTTTTTTTTTTTTTTGAGTATCTGTTTTCAGTGCTCCTGGTTATATACCTAGGAGTACAACTGCTGAGTCATGCAGGAGTTCTATGTTTAATCTTTTCAAGCAATGTCACATCATCATAGAGCTTTTCCTTGACCCTCGCCTGCCTTCTCCTGTCCCACCCACAGAACTAATTTTGTCTCCTTTTCCTCCCATAACAATTTCAAAAACACCCCCCTTGGCAACGCTGGGATTCAAACCCAGGACTTCTGGCTCCAAATCTTAGCTTTTTGCTCCTGCCCCACACAGCGGGACAGTCGCCTCCACCTGGGACTGACCTCATTTTATAGATGAGGGTGCTCAGGTTGGGAGCCTGTCCAAGGCCACACAGTTCCTAGGTGACGGCTGGGCTCTGGACTCTCAGCTCCGGCATCCAATCTTTGGATCCCGTGGTCTATACTGTGCTCCTAAATGGACAAACAGGTTTCAAAAAAATGTGCCCCCTTCCATTCCTGGAGACACCGAGAACCTCGCAACGCTCCATCCCTGAGAAACCAGTCTGTCTCCTCCTGGGATCTGCCAGGAGGCTGGTTCTGCAGCAAGGAATGAGCTCCAGGATCTTTGGTTTGGGCACGTTTATTTTGGCTCTTAATATATATATTTATATAATGTGGTTTTTCTTTCCATGATAGGAGGAAAGGGAGAAAATGACACTTTATTTTGTTTTTCTGCCTTTTCCATTTTTATGCTGCACGCGGAACCGGTGAGGAGCAGGAGGCTGGGGGCCAGCGGTGGCTCAGGTGTACCCCACCAGGCGTGGCGTGCAGGGGAAGGTCTTGCGCATGCTCATGCACTTCTCCTTGTCGATGCAGAGTGTGTTGGCCTTGATGGCCAGCTCATGCTCCAGCCGGCACTTGGTCATTACCAGCAGCTGGAGCGTGTCCTTCGTCTCCTGCAGTCTCAGCTTGAGGGTCTGCAAGGTGTCGTCGATGGTGAACACCTCGTTCACGAGCCTGCGGCAAGAGCGGAGGAGAAGGCACAGTTCACCGAGCTGGTCAGCACAGACACACCTACTAGGTGCCAGGAACTGTGCCACGTGCCGGAGACAGCCGTGAGCAACACAGACGAGGCTCAGCGGTCAGGGAAGACAGAGGTAGAACAGGCAGAAGGGCGGGGATGAGGGTGATGGGTACAAAGGAAGAAACAGGATGTTTAGGGAAACAATCTGGTGGATCCTCAGTAAGTAGACTTACCATATGACCCAGCAATTCCGCTCCTAGGTATATACCCATGAGAACTGCAAACAGATACTCAAACAAATTCCCGTTACAGCAGGTCTAGGGAATGAATATGCCATGTGAGCTGTGATGGTAGCTCGGTGGCGGGGCTGTGCCCTGGGTCCCACCTCTGGCCTCAGGCCCAGGGACACGCTACTGGAAGGTCTTGAGTCGGATATCAAGGTGGGCTTCCCGTGGCAGGCCTGGGCTATAGAGAGGTCAGAGAGCAGCCTGGAACCTCTTAGCTCCTTGGGGCTCTAGCTCAGTGCTGTCCAACAGAACTTTTGGCAGCCACAGAAATGTTCTGTGCTGTTCAATATGGCAGCCTCTGACCACCAGCTTGAAATGTGGTTCATGGACATAAGGAGCTGAGTTTTAACATTTGTTTCTGTTAATTAATTTACATGTAAATTTAAATGGGTATTCATTCTCAGGAATGGGCATGGATGGGAGCCGACCCATGAGAGAGGGTTTGAGGGGGAGGGGTTACCTGTAGAAGAAACAGGAAAGAAGGCCCAGAGGTGGTAAAGGAAGGATGGGGGGTGAGGAAGGTAATGCACAGACGGGACAGTTCAGCTGCTGGAGAAGGCAGAGGGCTTGAGTCCTGTTATCTGCTCAGTTCCCAAAGCACTTATGCGCCCCCCGCCACACACACACACACACAGACAGGCACAGATACACACAGACACACACGTGCGTGCATGCATGCACACTGCCCGGGGCTCCTGAGCCAAACATGGCCCATCCATGCTCCCCGTCTATCCTCTTCAGGGGTACAGCTGGTGGACAAGGAGGTGGGGAGCTTGTCCTAGAGGAGTAGGTCCTCCAGGACAAATCTGGTCCCCAAAAGCCCTGTTCTGGGTAAGTCCCCTCGGGTGGGTTATCAGAGAGCCCTCAGACCCAGAGGGTTCTGGAACCCAACCTGAGCATCTAAGAAGTGGGGACAGGTGCAGGAGGGATTGGGAGAGTTTCCCCCAAGCCCTCAGCAGGGACCTGGACCCCTTCCAGCCCAGCTGGAGTGGTTACCCTGGACACTGCACCACTTCCAGGGGTGAAGAGCTTCTAGGCCCGCAGCAGGCTGAGGAGCAGGTAGCCAGGCCCTCAAGTTCAAAGCCTGGGGTCACTTTCCCTGCCCACTCCCTGCCAACACACACACCCAGCTTTTCCGATTCCTGAGTGCTTATCTGGCAGTAACGAGTCTATGCAAACATCACACTGCGTCACCTGTAGCCACCCAGCATTTTCTCTCAGAACATTCTTCCTCCTTCTCTTTACTTCTCTGGCTCTCTTCACATCTCCACACATCTCGCTCAGGACGAGGACAAGCCACTGAGTCGTGGGGCATTTGCTGTACAGCAAAGGGAGCTGGTACAGTGCCCCCAGCATGGAGGGCCCACACAACCAAGGGGCCTGCCCCCGATCACTCACATTCCCATGTTAGATGGCACTTCCTCCTTTGCCTGGCCCTCATCCCATTCCAAACCCCGACCCCATGCTCACAAACCCGTGCTCTGGAGCTGCATGAGCTTTCCACCCCCTCTCCAGTGAGGGGGTCCTTTGTCCACAGGAGCAGCCCCCCCTTCACAAAGCAGGATGGGCAGGATTAAACTCTTCCAGTGTTCACGGAGAACTTTCCAAGAGGGAGATGGAGACCAAGGGGGATGGGAGCTGACGCCTCTCTCCTGGGCTAGCGGGGGGGCGGGGAAGCAACCCTGGGCCACAGGCCATGTCTCTGGCCTGGGAGGCTCCCTCTCCTTAGCTTTCAGGGGAAAGCTGGAGGGCTCCCAGAGCACAAGGTGGGGGAGGCTATGGAGGGGACCCCAGAACTCCAGACCCCCTCCCAGTGTCCTGCTGAGTTGTGGGGCTACATGTCCTGATTGGTGGGGGGGGGGGAAGCGGTCCATTTTTCAGACCCACGTTTCCTGGGAGCTCTGGAGACCCACCCCTCCCCGTCCTGGTCTCCCCCACTCACTTGAACTGTGGGATGTCCCTGCACAGCTCCACATTGGGGCGCCGGGTCCGACACTCCAGCCTCGTCTGCGCCACCTTCAGTGGGCACTCCTTGGCCATGATGGACCTTTCCAGAAGCATGATGGTATTCTCTGCCTGGAAGATCTCCTGCAGCGTCTATGGGGAACATGTGGGGTGTGTCATGGAAGCAGCCACCTCCAGGCTGGTTGCTTAAATAACTCCTTCCCCAACCTTGAGCCCCCATGGCACGGGGGCTGCGCTCTTCCTAAGACAACCCTTGAGAACCCTGTGAACATGGGGGAGGGGCAGGTGCCAAGGCTGGTTGTGTTTCCAATCTCCAGCATCCACTGGAGTCAGCCAATTAGTGTTCAGTAGGAGGGACAGAGGGAGGGGGAGAAAGGCCTTTAAGATGAACACAATCATCCAAAACAATCCAAAAAGCTCATCTCTGAATCCACTTTAATCTGAATTAATCTAGGTTGTTCTAGATCTCTTTGTAATCCAAAATTTACATAACTAGGTCAGCAAATAAACTAGGAAGGAAGGAAGGAGGGAGGGAAGGAAGGAAGGAAGGAAAGGGAGAAAAGGGGAAAGAGAGAGACTCAAAATTTTCTACTTATGTGTAGAAATATTTTCCCCAATATAATGCCCTACAGTTGATGGGAGTACAGATGCCAGGAAGTGACAGGTGAGAGCCTGCGGGGGACCGGGAATGTTCTATATCTTCATAGGGGTGGAGGCTCCCTAGGTGTAAACACAGGCAGAAAATCTTTGTCCAAATTCATCAAGTTGTACACTTTACTGTAAGAGTGTTATACTTCCATAAAAAATAAAGCTAAAATCAGAAGAAGGTCATCACGAGAAAAAAGTGGCTAAAATGGTGATACTCGTGTTGGGTCCCTGGGGGTCTTTTATAGGATTCTCTCTACTTCTGAGTGTTTGAAGTTTTCCATAATAAAAAATGAAAGCACAAGAGGATGAATGAAGATCGGCCACACTGGTGCAGTCCATGACCAGAAGGAATCCGATCTTGCACTTGGCCGACCATAAGCACGCCAGAATCTGGAGTACTCCGCACCTGTCGCCTCACTGTGGCTGACACGTCCCCTCCCCTCCCTGCCACCATCACCGTGAGCAGTTCCAGTTTTCATGGTGCCCCCCTCCTTCCAGAAGACTCTTTGTAGGTGGGCTGTGCTAAGACCCTTTCCAGACTTGGCAGGACCCAATGGTGAGGTTATATGTGCTCCCTTCCTGACAAGCCTGGCCGTGGTACCCTACCACCCTGACTTCCAACATCTCTCCTTCTGCTAGCTGTTTTGTCCATCCCCCTCACTAGCATGTGCACTCCAAGAAGTTGGGGGCCTTGCTTTGTCGATGCGGCATCCCCATTGCCAGGAATAGTGCTTGGCACAGCCTAAGGGCTGCCAGATAAAACACAAGACACCTGGTTCAATGTGAATTTCAGATCGACAACAAAGCACTTTTTAAGTATATGTGTCGGCTACTGCACGAGACATACCTACGCTAAAAAAAATGATTTGTTGTTGCTCTGAAATTCAAGTTTAACTGAGCATCCTGCATTTTTATTTGCTAAATCTACCAACTCTACTCATGGTAGGAACGCAATAAACAGTCATAGAATGAATGAACCAATCAATCACAGTGAGATCTGGAGGTCTAGATGTTTAGCTAGCTCCCCCATGGTCCTTATCCACACTGAGGTTTGGGAATAGTGTGCCCTAGACTTTATATGGTTGGGTCCATCTCAGATTTCGGTATCAGGGATAACTGCTTACACATGAAAATGCCAGGGTTCCTGAATGGGGTGGGGATTGCAAGTATGAGACCCAGTCCCCACCTTCCAAAACATTGCAGTCATGTTAACCGTCTATTCGTGAGCTAGGAAATATTCACAAATCATAACATGTACTGGGATGACTATTTTAGCTGGGTTGAGCCCATATTCTACAGGCACCAAGAAATTGCTTAAAAAACCGGGCTTCCCAGTTAGCTTAGGAAAAAAGTCTAGAGAGAGAGCATTTTGATATTTCAAGGTAACAACAGGATGCCCTTTCCCTACTGGGGTTGAGTTGGGCAGTAGGGTTATGGGAGGGGGCAAGGGGACTGCTTGGCCTCCTTCAAAGCCCATGAGGAGGAAGGCTGGCCCCCTCACCTGGTCGTCACTGAGCCACCCAGAACCAGAGTGACACCGCCAACCACATGTTGGTTAAACATTATCCCATAAGAATGTTCTGTGCTCAGCACACAAGCTTCCATGTAAACACTCCAGTGGAGGGGGGGGGCGATATTTCTCTTAGAAGTTGTGGAGATTTTCCTTAGAAACGTGCCCTTTTGTGTGTGTAGGGGGGTGGGGAGCTGCCCCAGATATGCAAATCTCAGGAAGCACCACCCCAGCCTGGTACAGAAGAAAAATTAAGGTTTCTAGAGAGGAAAAATGCTTCTTGGCATCACATTGCCCCGTGCAGAAAATAGCCCCTCCCTCTACCATGTGGCCTACTGGCGGGATGGGGTAAGAAGGACACCACTGAGGGTTTGACTGCTGGTGGGACCTGCCAGGCCTGCCCCAGCCGTGAAGGCAGCTCCCAGCATGCTCCTCTTCCGCCAGTTGGAGCTGCTGCTAAGAGAACCTTGAGAGGTTCAGAGCCCATGCCCCAAGGCTGTGCTTAGCTTTCTTGCTTTCTCCTCTCTGCTCTCTTCATCCCCTGGTCCCCAGCTCAGGGCTTGCAACTTGGGGGCCTGCAACTTGACAAAAGACCTGCCTCTTGAGTCTAAGGATAGTGCTGACACTCATTCAGGTGCTCAATCACTTCTTCCTCCACTCATTATTTTAGTTTCATCGATTCCTGCATTGCCTTCCCAAATGTTCACGGAGCACCTAATAGGTGCAGAGCACTCCCAGGAATTGGACGCAGCAGTGACCACAGCAGATGGAAAAAATCCTGTCCTGGTGGAGTTTACATTCTAGCGGAGACTTCACTCATTCATCTGCTCCTTTGTGCAACAAACATTTATTATATGCAACACACATTTCTTAGTAAGCATCTGCAAGTGCTTCCCACAACCGCAAGTACTTTCTTCAGCATCACGGAAGTTCAAGCTCCTGCCACCCTCTCTTGGTTAAAACAACAACAACAACAACAAAACCTTATGGGATGTCTTTAGTGTGCAGACATTGGCAGGGGCCGGGGCCTAGCGAGGGGCATCTGATACAAGTTCATCTCCCTTGTTGGGGAGCCCCCTTGTGAGCACAGCAGAGGGACCCGGACACAGCCCCGCAATGAACAGCAATTCTGGGAGAAGTCAATTATTTTCCAAGCCTGCCAACTGCTTCCAGGAGTTGGTGCCAGGGGTGGAGGAATCCAGAAGCTTCTGCAGGCAACATGCTGTGGCTACATTTTAACAGCTTTGCTCTGCTTTCCTTCTGTGTCTCCTTCTAACTACTCTCAGTTAAGGCGAGTGCTGTTGGTTCTCCATTGATACAAGGGATTTAAACACATCTTAAGTAAATGTGTTTTTAAGCATTTTTCAGGGACTGGCGTTACACCAAAATATAAAGTAAATACTAGTCCAGGTGGCTCGTGGATATGGTAAAATTGGGAAGGTGGCCCTGGGGGTGACTGGATTTGGGAAACCCTGTATTACACTGTCTCCCAGATACAGATACAGCAGGAGAGGGAACAGAAGGGAGCCGGGGAGCTGGGCAGGTGGTCACAGCCTAAATGAGGATGCGAAGGGGTAGGGGCCCTTGTGAAGTCCCCCGCCTCCTGTCTCCTCAGGGCTGGCGTCTGGTGTTTTGCTGGGAGGGGGGTGGCGTGTGCTGGGACTGACCGGTGTTTGTTTCTCCAAGTCACCACCTCCTGTCTCCCGTTGGCATTTCTTGAGCAGGTCTGCCTTGGGATTTTCCAGAACAGTAGGGTTTTTCCAGAATTAGACACTCTAGGACCGATCGATGATGCACAACCAAAGCAAATCTGCCCAGGTGAGTGTATTCTGCCAAAACTGTTCCCCATAGCCTCATGTCCAGACACACACACACACACGCACACACACGCACACACTCATTCTGTCTTGGGCGCAGCCCCTGCTGCCCACCCCAGTCCTGCCAGGCTGCGCAGCTCCAGGAGCCCCGTGTGCAATGATACGACCTCCAAGGGCCGGGAGGCAGAGACCAAGTGGACTGACCGGGGGCAGGAGCTTGAGACACAGCAGCCTTGACCTTCATGCTCAGGAGGAGGCTAAGCATTTGCTTGGTGCCAACATAGCCTCCAAGGGCCAGCCTGATCCACCAAGCTCCAGGTCAGCCTGGTCCCTAGACCCCAAATTCCACAATGTCCCCTGAAAGAAGAGCCCCGAGTCTAAGAGGGTGACCCACATATCCCAGTACATCCGCTCCTGGGTATATACTGTCGTGTCCCAAGATCGCTAGGAGCATCCATGTCAAGGATGTTGAGGGCGGTATGACCAGTAGTGGGCAGTGAGCTGGCAATGGGTGCCCTTGATCACGGAGAAGGACGAGTAAAAGACAGCAAATGGGCACTGCAGAGGATTTTGGGGGCGCCATTAGGGGCAGAGGATTAGGCACGGGTAGGACCAAGGCTGGGTCTTTAAAACCATACAGGGCGAGAAAAGAAGGAAACAGACTGAACTGTATTACACAATCCCTTTTGAGAAAATGAAAAATCCCCGCACCTACAACAGCCATAGACATTTAGTAAGAATACATCTCCACCAAGAGATCCATGTTCAACAATTAGAACGGTCATCTCTGGGAAAGTCGTCTGCGGGAGAAAGGGAGCGAGCATGAAGGATGGGGATAAAAGGAAGGAAACAAGAAATAAGCAAAGGGTTTTTACAAACAGGATGTGCCAAGAAGTGAGGAGTATGACAAACTCCTCTCTGTTCACTGGGGTCAAAAAAGGAAAAAGTTCCCACAACCCTACCAGATTTAAGCTTCCTTTTAAAATAACTTCAGTTGTTTTTTTTTTTTAATGGGAGAAAGATAATTAAAGAAAAAAATACCATCTGATAGTAAAAGGGTATTGTTTCTTGAATTTGGCTGCATGTTAAAAAAAATTTTTTTAAGTAGGCTCCACACCCAGTATGGAGCCCAATGCAGGGCTTGAACTCTCCACCCT